TTATTTTATTTTATTTTATTTTAGTTTATTTTATTTTATTTTATTTTATTTTATTTTATTTTATTTTATTTTATTTTATTTTATTTTATTTTATTTTATTTTATTTTATTTTATTTTATTTTATTTTATTTTATTTTATTTTATTTTATTTTATTTTATTTTATTTTATTTTATTTTATTTTATTTTATTTTATTTTATTTTATTTTATTTTATTTTATTTTATTTTATTTTATTTTATTTTATTTTATTTTGTTTTGTTACGTTCCTTTATTTCACTTACTTTAAGCAGACAGTTAATTTCATTTAACTCAAGTGGTAAAATGGCATGTGAAGGTCCTGCAGGTCTGTTTGTAGAGATAATTGATTGACGGGTGACTGCGATAAGTGCCTGACTGAAATTGCATTGAGATGATCTGAACCTGATTTGTGTGAGTTTTGGCACAGACGGTGACAGCGAGGCTCAATCTGCTGGAATGTAGAAAGCAGAGCCCTGCGGGTGTTTAGACACACACTGCATGCACCGTATCACAGTCCTTTAGTGTATGAAGAGCTTCTCTCTAATTACAGACTGTACTAGAACAAGCATCTGATTTATGTGCTGTTATCACAGTCTGGAGACAGAAGACAAACACGCTCATCATTTTCTCCTGTTCTTCTGTATTTCGCAGCATGTTTGTTCCGGTACAACTGGCTGTCCTTCGTCTACCTCATCTTCCTCTTACTCATCCCACTCTTCGCCGAGCCGACAAAGACGACAATGCAAGGTGAGTCTCTGAGTTCCTTCAGCGGCTCTGAATGTTTCCCGTGTGAAGACATATTTTCACGAGCTTATAAGTGTGTGATTTCTGCAGCACTGGCGGCTAAACATGATTTGCAAAAGTAATCCAAACAGACTTTATTTGTTTTATTTGAAATGGTTACTGTTACACTTTCACAGAATATTTTCCCAACTCAGGACCAAGAAACAAGGCTGCCGTAGATATTGTAGATATTAAGATCAGTGGTCAACAAATATAGGTCTAGAATGAAGTACTGTGCATTAAAATTAAATGTAGAATTTATACCAGCGTTGCATTAACTAAAACTAAAACTAAAACCATACCATTTTCATTACCTGAAATAAAATAAATGTTAACTAATATAAAATAAAATACATAAAAACTTAATTTGTTATATTTATTTATTATTACTCATTTTATTTCAGCTAGTTGCCAAGTCAAAATCTCTTCTTTTTATTTAGTTTAAGTTGAAGTACTGAAAAGCTATATACACATATTAAAAAAATAATAAAAATAAAAATCACAAAGCACATCAAAATGACTAAAAATGTAACTAAAATTAAAATGAAAACAGAAGCTATAAAAATAAAATCTAATTTAAAATATTAACAAAATAGTATATCAATGATACTAAAATAACACTAAATTATTCATACAATTTGTTATATTTCTATATAATTCTGTATAATTAAACTACTTTAATTACTAAATAAATACATCATTGATAAAATATAGATTAATAACACATGACACTACTCTTTTAAAACATTATTTATTTAAGGTGGAAATGTCATTGCAAAACAGGTGCAAGGACAAAGACAAAAAGAAATTAAAAATAAAACGTATTCAAAATAGTAAAAAAATGTATAGTATTTCAACAAAAATGAATTTTTGTTATTTTGTATTTTTTATTCTACTGTATATAATCCATTGACATGTAATGGTGATGAATAGGTACAGTAGACTAAAATTGGCTAAAAATAAAATGACTGTTTTATGTTCAAAGTTCTTTTGCATTAGGATTCGGTCACATTTACTGTCGCTCTACACACGTGACTGCACCTTTTGACAATAAACAGTTAAATGATATATCAAAGGTCTTTTGTTTCTTTTTTATTTGCTTTAAATGTGTATGAAGTCATCAGACACACACAGAATTGATGCTCTGCACATTAAACTGCAATTGGACAATTAGACAAAGTGTTAATAGCTAATGAATGGCACACTTCACAGCACTTGCCAGACTTTCTAAGTAACAGTCAGTATAACAGTAGGAATTACAGCCGGATCTGAGTGATTAAGCAGCTCACTGTGATTAATTGCAGCTTTAAGGCTTCCGGCTGAATGTCATGAGTAATGTACGGTGTGTTTAAGAAGAAGAGCAAGGCGCTCATCATGCCTCGTGATTCCTCCAGAATGAGTCCCACATGATTCAGCCCCACATGCTGTTATTAAGGTGCCTGTGTTTTTATTCTGAGACATCTGTGTTGCTCCTTCAGCTGCTAGTTCTGTCCGTTTTGATGTTTAAGAGAGGCACTGCACTGCACTGAATGCTGTTCTGTGTGTCCTGAGGAACTGGTTTTTATCAGAGGTTTGCTCGGGTGCTGGTGGTGTCAGCTTCACTGAGCGGAGGGAGTGGGAGGAACGAGGCTCTTCTGCTTTCCCAGCATTCCTCAGTGTGTCATCGGTTCACAAGATCAGCTGTTACCTCCTCAGATTCACCGTATGTCAACTAGTCTAACCGGAGCCAGATATCTCTCTGATTTCACAATTATATCACCTAGATTGATAGAGAATGGGGTTAAATGGAGACAAATGGAGACTTTTGTTCTCGTGAGGAAGAGATGGTTTTACATCAAGAGTCTCAATGAAATCTCAATAACGTCTCAAACTGAGCTCAGATTCGAGAAATCAAAGTCACATTATATAAGTATGCTCTTTACTTCAATTTCTGAGCTCTTTTGCTGTCAACAGTTATTGGTGCGATTTTTAAATGTTTTTGTAAGAAGTCTCTTCTGCTCACCAAGGCTGTATTGGTTCGATCAAAAATACAGTAAAAACAGTAATATTGTGAAATATTATTCTAATTTAGAATATCTGTTTTCTATGTGAATCTCTGTTAAACTGTAATTTATTTCTGTGATCAAAGCTGTATTTTCAGCATCATTACTCCAGTCTTCAGTGTCACATGATCTTCAGAAATCATTCTAATATACTGATTTGCTGCTCAAGAAACATTACTGATTATTATCAATGTTGAAAACAGTTGTGCTGCACAATATTTTTGTGGAAACTGTGATACATTTTATTTTTCAGGATTCTTTGATTCATTTAGGCAGTTTCTCATGTTGCTGCCTAATTTGGATGAACTGGTTATTGCACTCTACACTGAAAGTTGTTTTGAGTAAAAGCATCTGATTTTGAACTGAAGTCTATTAGTTATTTACAAAAAAAGCTAAAAGGCCTTGGCTAAATGTTCTGTCCCAGAAATATGTCAAAACAGGAAAGGCAGCGGTTCTTTCGGTCTCCTGAACTATGAAAGAGTGACCTCTGAGCAATAAAAACTTCCTCTGGAAGGAGGTTTCACTGCTTGATAAAAGAGTCTCGCCAGAACAACAACACCAGAACTTTGAATCACTGGGTTTAGTTGTTGCTTTGGACCAAAATCCTACTTTCTTTTGGGTTGAGGTGTTCACTTAAAGGAATAGTTCACCCAAAAATGAATATTTGCTGAAAATCTACTCACCCTCAGATCATCCCAGATGTAGATGAGTTTGGATATTTGTAGAAATGTAGCATTGCATCAGTGTCTCAGCAACGGATGCTCTGCAGTGAATGGGTGCCGTCAGAATGAGAGTTTGATAAAAACATCACAATAATCCACAAGTAATCCACAGCACTCCAGTCCATCAGTTAACATCTGGAGAAGACAAAAGCTGAAACAAATCCAGCATTAAGACGCATGTTTTTATCAGCTGTTTGGACTCTCATTCTGACGGCACCCATTCACTGCAGAGCATCCATTGCTGAGACACTGATGCAGTGCTACATTTCCACAAATATCCAAACTCATCTACATCTGGGATGGCCTGAGGGTGAGGATATTTTCAACAAATTTTCATTGTTGGTTGAACTGCTCCTTTAAACCACAGAATGAGATCATCTCTAAGAGTAAACTGCGTCTAGTTTGATCATAATTCCCTGGAAATGACTCTCATATAGAGAGGTGAAAATGCTATGGTATTATCCGTTTATAATACAGATGTTCTTCTGCTGTAATACTCAGTCAGAGGGTGTTTTTGACAAACTGGTCTCATTTATCAGCAGAAGCTGAGGGAGTGACTGGAGAAGCACCTGAGGTGTCTGTGACATTCACTCATCTGTGAGGCTTGCAGAGGCTTGTAGTGCTCTTCTGAGGAGCAGAACTGAGATGAGCTGTGAGAGCTTTACACACTCTGTTCTTTCTTTATTAGCGCTGCTTGCTTAAACAAGCATTGCTGTTATTGTTGCTCATACTTATCTTTCTTATGCCCGCAAAACATGTGTGCTACGGACATGAGTTATACCTAGTGATCAGACAGAGACTTTCACCTGGCCGACACAATACATCCAGATGACTGACATTTCCAGACATTATTAATGTTTTTGTTAAATATTTTTAATTTTTGTTAATGTTACACACTCTGTTCTTTCGTTATTAGTGCTGCTTGCTTAAACAAGCATTGCTGTTATTGTTGCTCATACTTACCTTTCTTATGCCTGCAAAACATGTGTGCTACGGACATGAGTTATACCTAGTGATCAGACAGAGACTTTCACCTGGCCGACACAATACATCCAGATGACTGACATTTACAGACATTATTAATGTTTTTGTTAAATATTTTTAATTTTTGTTAATGTTTAATTATTAAAATATTATATGTCCTCTGTTCTAAAGGACAGTGTTATCATTGAGAATTTTTTGTCATTTTTACAAATTTTAAACTAATTCCTTTGTAAAACTACAATTCTTTAAATTATATTATATTTTTTATTATGTTTTCCAGGTTTTTTTTCTCTTTAGTACATCAAGTTAAACTAAATGAAAATGTGAAAAGTAAAACATAATATAAATTATTAATAAAAATCTTTCTAACCCCACACTTTTAAACAGTAGTGTATATGTTTGTATTTTTACAGTTGTGAGTCAGACTTATCATTTATTTCTCTCAAATAGTTTATTATTTGTTTTGAGTCTTTTAAATAAAAACTGAACATACAATGTATAAATAATAATAATAATAATTATTATTATTTATAATAATAATATAATAATAATAATTATTATTATTATTAGATTATCCAAAATAAATATTACCAAATGGTTATTTAATATTTAAACCATTTTATTATTTTAAATATATAACCGTTTTCATTGAATTTCCTGCAAAAATGACTATAGTGAGAAATATAGTTAAGATTTCGATCATTTGACCCACCACTAAATAGTGTGTATTATATTTTATTTTATTTATTTATTTATTTTTATTTTGAAAAGTTACACTTGACTAATAGAGCCAACCAAAAAGAGTGTTTTGAGTGCTTTAGAAAGCTTGTATTACATCAGATCCTCCTCCAAAGCTCAGTGTCCTCAGCGAAGTTCAGTTCTCCGCTCATGACCCCAGAGGTTTAGTAGTCTGAGACGTCCTTCAGAAGTCATTTGCTCTGATGTCTTTAAGGCGAATGGCTGCTGAGCTTCAGATTAATGGTGTACTGTAGTCTTTGTTGGGCTGACAGTGAGGCGGTTTGTTTAGTTTAGGCCTCAGCGTGAGCCGTGAGTCAAACCTCTGCGTCATTACAGCCAGATGCTGCTATTAATTACAGGCCTTTACCTGTCTCCAGCCAGGATTGTTGTTAGGTGATGATATGCATTTGGGTAGATCTCAGCTGAAGATTAGCAGGGGACACATGAAGCCCGAGCTGGATTTGAAAATATGTGAGAG